AATATTTATCCACAATTGAAGGATAACCAGAGTAGTGTAGAGCATAATCTTTAGTACCTTTAAGATATCTCATCAGCCTATCGAGGGCATCACAATGCTCTTTACTAGGATTACTAGTGAAATGACTCAGCATGCCAACTGTAAAGGCCATGTCAGGTCTAGTGCAACTTGCAACATATATGAGACTATCAATCAGTTTTGAATACTTTAACTGATCCACATTGGTCCCTTCATAAGGACTCAGTCTATTATTATAATCACATGGTGTCTCACTTAGTTTGCACTCATTATATCCCCAGGTAGAAAGTAGCTGCTCAATATAATGAGTCTGGCTAAGGGAGATAACTTGCATATTAAAGCTTACTTTCATACCAAGAATGGTATTTGCAATATCAAGATCTTTCATGTCAAATTCTTTAGCTAAATTAGCTTTCATGTCACTCACTACAGATTGATCAAAACCAAGAATTAACATGTCATCCACTAGTTGTCTTTACATCCATTTCATACACTACATAGTGTTCAATAGATGTCAAAGCAAGAAGAATTCTTATAGTTGATAGATAACACACAGGTGAGTCGACACCAAAATAGTCTACTTCACTTTGTTGTCTATAGCCTTTAGCTACAAAATGTGCTTTGTATCTGGCTAACGATCCATCACTATTCAGTTTCTTCTTCACTACCAACTTACAACCTATAGCCTTAGCCCCTTTCGGCAAATTGACTAGCTATCAAGTATGATTATGCAGCAGAGAGCTCCTTTCATCATCTATGGCTTCTGCCCACAGTAGAGATTCCCTAGATCTCATTTCTTCCTGATAGAAGAATGGATCATCCTCTATATGGTAAGTGACAAAGTCCTCGCCAAAGTCTTTGGGAACTCTCTCTCGTAGATACTCTAACTGGAACTGATTCAACAGCCAGTTGTGTGGGGTAAGTGTCAGAAGGGCTTGCTTCAGATTCTATAGGAGATTCATAAATCATATCTGTAGATCCGGAAACACTCAAGCCATGATCTTTGATAAATTTATTCTCAAAGAATTCTGCATCTCTGGATTCTATCACCGCATTTGAAGATAGATCCAAAAATCTATTTGCAGCACTGTCTTCTGCACTTTCTAGATATACACAAGTAATGGTTTTAGGTCCCACCTTATGTCTCTTAAGATCTTGTATTCTTACATAAGTAATACATCCCCAAGTCTTAAGAGGATCATATCTACAAGAGCACTTATGTCATATCTCACAAGGAGTCATAGACAACTTAGAGTGTGGCAACCTCTTCAGGATGTGATTGGCAGTTAGAACTGCTTTTCCCCATTAGGAGGAAGGCATGCCAGCTGTAAGTAACAGAGTTTAACATTTCAGTTAATGTCTTATTCTTGCGCTTAGCAACACGATTTGATTGGGGCGAGTAAGGAGCAGTGGTTTCAAGTATTATGCCCTCCGAAGCGCAAAATTCCTTGAACCCTGTCATTGTGTACTCTCCTCCTCTATCACTCCTAAACCTCTTATTTTTCAAGTTGAGTTGATTTTCTACTCTTGACTTAAAAATCAAGAACCTTTCAAAAAGCTTCATCTTTCGATTTCAACAAATAGACATGACAATATCTAGAAAAATCGTCTACGAATGTTATTAAATACTTCTGACCACCTCTAGTAATATAATTTCTAAAGTCACAAAGGTCAAAATGTATCAGATCAAGAAGTTGTGTGCTTTTAGAAACTGACTTAAAAGGTTTTCTAGTGATCTTAGTTTGTGCACATACTTCACATTTGTCAAATCGAATAAAAGCATTTAATGGAGTATCAAGAGTTTTAGCTAGATGTTGCATTTTCCTGTAGTTCACATGTCCAAGTCTATTATGTAACAACTTTGGATCAATCAAAGTTGAACTCATATGGCTTATGCTCACAGTATAAACTCAATCTATACATACCATTAATCATCAATGCCCAACCAAAATAACAAGAGTTAACAAATAAAGTTACTCTACCATTCATTGTTGAGAAAGGCATACAAGATTTATCAAGCAAAGATATCAATTTTCTTTAAGTAAAAGTACTACTCTAACTTGTTTTAGAGTTAGTAATTTACTTGAAGAAAGCACGAAATTTGCAGTTCCAACATGAGTCACATCTGTCTCATCACCACTGCAATTTTCCACTGTGTCTTTCACTTCTATGACCTTAATGAGCAAATTCTTATCATTTGTAGTATGATAGGTAGCAACGTTCTCCAACCACCACTCAAAAGAGACACTGGCCTTTCCATTCTTCATCATTCCAGTGAAAGCTTGAGGCTCAGGTTCATTAGTTAACATATTAGCCTCATTTTGTGGTGTGTTGTTTTTTTTTTTAACTTATTTGGTAGCTTAAACTCTGCTGCCCAGTGATCTCACTTTCCACAGTTATGGCACTTGACCTTCTTCTTCTTTTGAAGATAGCCTTTTTGGCCTCTAACTATGAAGAAGATTCACCTTTTGGTGACTTGGACTTCTTCTGAGGTTTATTGGAATGTGAAACTAAGTAGGCAATTAACTTTTATTGTCCTATTTGTTCCAAACTCTTCCTAGAATAGTTTTGATTCTAAATATAAATAAACCCCTTTAATTTATCCAGTTCACTTTGTTCTTTCAGTCTTGAAAGAACTCTATTCAGCAGATAGTTTACTCAATGCAAAATCGACAAAAAGATTATCAGACATATCAGATTTATCATCTTTTAACTTGTTCCTTATGTTCTCAAGTTTAATTAACTGAATTCATATTAAATTTGAATTCAAAGAACTTCTCTGCTATGAGAGCTTTGGAGAGCCCCTCTTGCTTTTTGAACTAAGCATTCAAGTGATTTCATATCTTTTTTCATCGTCTTATATTCACTACAAGTCATAGCGAGATGAATATTTAGAGAATTTAGCAAGCAATCCCTACAAAATTATTCATCTTTGTCCCATTGATATTAATCCACAATTTTCAATGGTAAATGCAAGATCATTTAATATATTATGGAATATTTCATGTTCTTCTATGCCAAATTGAACATGTAATTTCCAACCATAAAATTCAATAACATCAAATGATTTCATTTCATAATATCATAGGAATTATTTTTAGGCATTTTAATCAAAGCTAAGAGTTAGAAAGAGTGCACCTTGTAGCTCTCTCAGACTTCGCAAATTAAAGCAAAAGTTCCAACTTTCATCAACTGCTCTATAGACTTAGAATTTGCCAAAACAGACCCCAAAAACAGATCCGGAGCGCCCAAAAACCTTAAGATGGACTACCCCTATGGCCAGAAACTCACCGGAACATTTTATGATTTTTAAAATGTTCCATACAGAATATTCCTCAACAAACAAAATATTCCCTCGGAATATTCCTTTTCGCAGGAATATTCTTTTTAGCATAAAAGTGTACCTATAACTTCAAACAGTCATATCTCCTTCGTCCGATCTCCGTTTGAGGCGAATCACCACTCAAAAAGATCGTCTCGACGAGTAGAACAAAGCCCAATAGGTTTCACTTTCTGAAATTGGCTAAAATTTCTGGGATCTGGACCGAAAGGTTGCGGTTGCAGTATCTTCAAACTCAGATCCTGGAAAATCCTTCCGTCGAATCATGAAAGTGATTTAAAATATGAGTTCCTCTCGTTGAGATCTTCGAATAGACACCTTACTCGCTCAAATCTGACACCCGAAGCTAATACTTTAAGATTGTTGGAGGTTATGAGGTTGAGAGAGAAGAGTTCAGAAGTGCTTAAAGTATTAAGCCAAGAGACATCAAGTTTGGAATGCTCAACAGTGTTACCTCCAGCTTAGGAAATCCTAGATATAATACAAGTTATTGGGCTCCAGCCCATATGGACCCAAATAACCATGCTTTCACCTTTTGGGCTTACATGTGAACATACTATTATTGATTATACTATTAATATATCCAACAAGAAGTGTGTGTAGTTTAGGGTGTTGTTATGTTCAATTGTAACCTCCGAAAAAGAAAAAAAGAAAAAAAAAAGGACTTGTTAATCTCCTAGGACCCTTCGATTTCACAGAGAACCTGGTTTTGGGTTTCGACAAAATGATTTATAGTGCCCTCTCCAACTCAACCAACATATTACATTGACCAAATGTTTGATTTCTGTTTTTGAGAACAAAATTTTGATTTTAAAAATTGAAACAAGAAAAAAAAAGTGTTTAGGTACTCATTCTTTATTTGATTTTTTTTAAAAACAAATTTTTCATAAGGAAAAAGTATTTAGTACAAAATTATCAAAACACAAGTCGTTTTACTTAAAATGAAATAAAATTATATCCTTAAAAGTGACAAATATTTTTCCCTTCTCATAATTTGTTTCAAGAGTAGAAAATTGAGAACACAATTTAATACTTTCTACACAAATTTTCAAAACTCATTTTCAAAATAAAATTTAGAGTAAAACCCCTTTAGGTCCCTAACAAAAAAATTATGGTCTCCACTTTCGTCCCTTACAAAAATAAAGTCAACTTTTGATCATTCTACAATTTCAGTTCTTTGAAAATATGATCTCTCAAAAAATTAATAAAGACTTAATTTAGTCCCTCAAAAAAGACTAATATGAGATTTTTTTTTTGTAAGGGACGAAAGTGAGGACCGTATTTTTTGTTAGGGATCCAAAAAGAGCTTTACTCTAAAATTTATTAAACAAATTTTTTATTCTATAAACTAATTTTATGAAGGGAAAGGTTATTATTTCACTAGTATAAAAATAAGAAGTCTTAAGTCCTGATAATATTTTTACTTGCATCCAATGACTCATGTATTTTATAAATTAAAGTCATTAAATATAAATAATAGAAACGGTCAAATAAAACTTACATTGGTATGCCACTAGAGTCTTCTAAGTTAAATTTATATATATTTGATTCTCTAACTTAAAAATAGTGCAACGTGATTGTTAAACTTTTTAAAATGTGCGATTTAGTTCTTTCATCTAATTTTCTGCTTAAATTACATGACCATTTTTTTAACCAAATTTCTTTATGAAAAAGAAGTTCAATTTTTCCCTTCCAACTTTGATTCAGGCGTATTTTAGTCCTAAAATTTTTAAATGTGACAATTTTATCAATGCTTGATGGAAAAATAGACACAGGAGAAAAAGATTGTACAACATGATTTTAAACTTTTAGGACCAAAACGCATATGACCAAAGCTAAAAGGAATAAATTGGACTTTTCCCAATTATATATACAGATAACACTTTTTTTGTGTCAAATTTTTAAAAAAGACAAATTAATTCCATAACTTTTGCCTCTTAGAAATCTCCCAAGAGTCAGGAATTCATGATATTGGACCTTTGATCAAAATGCAGGGGTACCCACTTTTATATATAAGTTTGCAGGCTTCCTGCAGAGAATTATATACTTGGGTTTGGTTTATATTCTGCTTTGTTGCATGCCATGTTGCAATTCTTGTCATTGATATTTTCTTTTGCTTTTCCCACTCCTCCCATCCAAAGAAAATGAGTTCATACCTTGAGGAAAAAGCACCTTGTTGTGAAACTCACTTTTGGTTTTTACTAATCATGTGTTGGGTTTTTGTGTCATTTGCTGCTATCACATCTGGTCTTGCTCTAGGACTCTTGTCCTTTAGCCAAGTTGATCTTGAGGTTCTTGTTAAAGCTGGCCAACCTCAAATCCAAAAAAATGCAGGTATGTAATTGATTTATGTGTAGTATAATTTTCTTCATTGAAGAGTACCATAAGACTCAATAAAAGAAAAAACATTGAACAAAATATGATGCATAGATACTGTACTATAGAATACAACATAACTTATGATATAAATAATAAAATGAAATATCAAAAAAAAAAAAAAAATAGATATGTAAGTACAATTCAACTAACCTTTATCAAAAGTGGGAAGAAGGGGAGAAAAAGGTTCTTATTCTCAGGCTTTGTCATTGCAAGTTCAATTCAACTAACCTTTATCAAGTATTTCAGATCTCCTATGGTAAAAGTGCGAATAAATTCTATCGTGTTAAAATTTCACATGAAGTTGTACTTAGTAAAATCAAATTTTATGGTGTCTAATTACCTCATGGTGGGGAAATATTTAACCAAAAGCACAAAGTTAAACTTTACTAGAGGCTATTATTGAAAAGGAAACTCTGAAATATTTAGTCCTCCATCTTATTAAGTAATGAAAACATGTTTATTTATTTGCAGCGAAGATTATGTCCGTTGTTAAGAATGAGCATTTACTTTTATGCACCCTCCTCATAGCTAAATCAGTGGCATTAGAGGTATGTTATACACAGATCATTTCAAGACCTTTCAGCTGATTTAAAGTACAGTTATGTATACTTAATGAAGGCATGAAGTTGTTTTTTTATGACCATATATTAATCCAAATCCAAAGATATCTTTGGTATGATTGATCTAAAATGATGTAGAATGTTTTCAGTCATTTAATCATTTACTGAGTAAAAGGGTATGTCCTAAGATTCAATGAACTTTCTATACACATTTTTTCGTGCTTATGTTGAATAGTACTAAAAATAAAATTTGTGTTATCCAAGGGGGTTTCTGCTTTTATGGAGAAAATGTTCCCAGAATGGGTTGCAGTATTGATATCAGCTACACTTTTGGGTGTCGTCGCAGAGGTGAAATTTCTATACCAAAATAAACTTTACCATATGTATTTGTAGGCAAACGTGTATATTTGATTATATACATACATTCAAGTCCTTTATTTAATTTTTCATCTAAGACTTTATTCTCAGATTATTCCTCAAGCCTTGTGTTCTCGCTATGGTTTAAGTGTTGGAGCAACAATGTCTCCCTTTGTTCGAGTTCTTCTAGTGGTTTTCCTCCCAATTGCATATCCAATTAGTAAGGTAAGATGTATTTGCTGAAACAAGAAGTTTCCCAAGTTGCCGAACGTGTTAGAATGAGAGCACAAAATTAGAACTTTCTTCCATGGACTAAGCCAAGACTAATAATATCTTTGATGAATTACTAGACTTTACCTATTGCCATAAATTAGTTTTATTATGTCACACTTTTCTCATGGTAAGAAAGGAGGAGTTTTTCCCTTATAATCTATATTATTAGGACCATTGAAAATTGTTGTAAATAGTGGTTTAGAAGTCTCACATCATGTAGGTCTTTTTGTAATTTCTCTTCTTTCAGTTATATAATAAAATCTCTGTTGTGTAGATGAAACACACGGATTACTCACAAACCTCTCGTGTCCTGATATTTAGCAAAAATATAGCTTATATAAATTGAGACATGGGAATGAACCCTCTTATTTGTGATTTCACATGACCTCTTATTTGTGATTTCACATGACGAGTTAATATGAAAGGTTCTTAATCATGGACAGAGAAATCAACGGTTATCTTTTTTTCCACACCCTATATTTCAATATTTTGTCTCTTTCATCTCTTATCACCATTGATTTATTTATCAATGGTTATGAACCTTTCACCTGACTTGATCACGTGAAATCACACGTGGGAGGATCCACTCCGTGAGACACTTAGCCTAAATGCTTAGCTTTTAATATTTTAGATCTCTTTGCCTTACATGTTGGAAACTCCTGCTATGGTAGATGTTGGATTGGGTTCTTGGCAAGGGGCATACTGCACTTTTAGGACGAGCAGAACTGAAGACCTTAGTCAATTTACATGCCAATGAGGTTAGCTTGTGTTTATTGATTTTTAGGAATTTTATTTAACATTTACTGTCATATGATCAAGTTTATTATCAGGCAGGGAAAGGTGGAGAGTTGTCACTCCATGAAACTACAATAATTGCTGGAGCTTTGGACTTAACTCAGAAGACTGCTAAAGATGCTATGACACCTATAAGTGAAACGTTTTCTCTTGACATAAACTCCAAACTTGACATGTATGTCCCTCATGTCTATCACTTGTGTTAAAGTGTTACTTTGCCTAAACTTCATTTTCTTATTTATAGGCATACAATGGGCTTGATAATGGGCAAAGGTCACAGCCGTATACCAATCTATTCTGGAAAACAAACAAATATTGTCGGTCTTATCTTGGTAATCAACCAAATAGATATGTTCTAGTTTATAGCAATTTCTGTTTGGATTATTTTCTCTGAGAGGGCGAGACTTGGAGCAGCAGAAAAGTTGCTTCTTGTGACCGAAAGGTCATTGGTTTGAGTCTCGAAATGGCCTCTTTGTAAAAATATAAAGGTAAAGTTGCGTATAATCGACACTTCTCACTACCCTTACAAGTGGGGGATCTTGTGCACCACGGTTTGCCTTTTATTATTTTCTCTAAGGACCTCATTTTATTGAAACATCTAAATAGATATTTTTGATCCGCAAAGCATTTATCCAATATAAATGCAATCATTTTAATGATAAAGAACAATGTATACTGTATGGTTTTACATGTCACTTGAGAAGCCCTTCAAGTACTCAACTTTATCAAGTTTAAAAAGGGAAAGTTTTGCTCAAAGTTTCTGAATTATAATTGAATCTTACTTCTTTGTGTATATGACAGAACTTCATGTTTCAACCTTGATTTAGGTCAAGAATTTAATCTTTTGCCGACCTGAAGATGAAACACCAATTAAGTATCTGACTATCAGGAGGGTTCCTAGGTATGAAATTTCTTTCCTTATTTTTGCTGATGATAAAGTAGCTTTAAATGGAACAAATAAATTCAATAGAGGAAGATGATGATGCTGATGATAACAAGGTGAAGGTGAAGTTGAAAAAGAAGTAAAGAAACAAACAACAGAATAATCTAGCTACCATAATGCTCATATGTTACACAAATGATTAGTCTTAATAGTTAAATTATTTAGCTTATGATGTTCTTCTTTGGCTAACAGAGTAGGTGAAAATTGGCCACTGTATGATATCCTGAATCAATTCAAGAAGGGTCAAAGCCACATGGCTGTTGTCCTCAAGTGTGAAGAGAACATCAGAACTACCACAACTGATGCAGAAGGCAAAATTCCCAGTCTTGTTGTACACAAATGACTCACATTCAAAACCAATATCGTTGAGGAGTCAAGCTAGCATAAGCTTTCATTATTCACATAGGAAAAATCTTTAGGAGTTCAATATTTTTATGGCATTTGTTTACTATAAAATCATTCATGAGCCGTCACCTAATAATTTAAGTTTTGAATAGTTGGTTCATAACATGGTATCAAAGCTTTTATAACTAAGTCGAGGAATTTAATCCTTGTTGTTCCTATTACCCTAAATAAAAGTTGAGTTTAACACAATTGGTTCTTGAAAGCATCTGAGGGTGTAACTGTGGACTTTGCAGGACTTCGTTCTTCATTTGAACCAAGAGATTATATTAGCATCTCAACTGATGCATCAAATCGGAATTCACAAGAAACAGAATATTATAGTGCAACTCTGAAGAGTGTCATGCATCAAGTGGTTGAGTCAGATCCACCACATAAAAGATCAGAACAACATGATACAAGTACATCATTTGAGAATTTGGAGTCTCTTCCAACGGATGAGGAAGTGATTGGGATTATAACATTGGAAGATGTTATGGAAGAGCTACTTCAGGTTAATGTCACTAACTATGGTTCATACTATGAAAATTTGGTTTTCAATTCAATAGTAACAATCATATTTAAGTAATTACATTGCTATATTCGTTGGAATCTACAAAAAATATCCCTTACCACAAGATACTTGGTCGTTAAATTTTACACATATCTAGTCCTTGTAAAAAAAAAAAGGGTTTAACTTTTCTGGCTGTTGCAGAAAAATTTGTCTGCCACTCTCACAAAAAAAGGTCTCACAAAAAAATAAATGGATCCCCTGCAATAGAGTTGTTTAAAAAAATTTGTCTATGTACTCTGGAAATTATATTGTGTGGCAGATAAAAGCTTCTACAACAACAGCATAAATTTTTTTCCAAAAAAAAATTAGTAATTCAATACTCACTATTAACAACAAGCCTTGGAACAGCAGTAAAATTGCTCTTTGTGACGGGAACGTCACCAATTTAAATCTGAAAAACAGTCTCTTTATAAAAATAAACATGTATTACTTAGCTACTTCCTTTTTGGTTTCGTGTAAGATTGCTAATGTTTTAATTGTTTCCATTCTTCAAGGAAGATATATTGGATGAAACTGATCAATATGTTGATGTTCATCAAAAGTGAGTACAGTTTCTATGCTCCTAACTCCATAAACACTCTGGATGCGATTGATGTTTATATCTTATTGTGTGATTCTATATCTTATTTTTCAGTATCACAATCAAACTGCAACATTCAAGAAGAGTGTCATCAGGGTCCTCAAGAAGGCCTTCAACTTCTCGTCAACAATGGAGAAATTCAGACGCATCTAGAGTTTGCTTTTGGACTCCTACATATATTTCACCCATTTCTCCATCTAACTAGAGCTAAAGAATCAGCTCCCAAGCTTCCCCTGAAGAATTTGTTCCAAATTGTTTTTCTTGTCCCAATGGCATTGATGTGTACCCTCTTTATTTTTATTTAAGAGGATGATGAAAAATGTGTAAAATCATAGAAATTTATCAAGAAAAAGTACTTTATAGTATTTTTCTTTTGCATATTATACTATAATAAATCATATTTGAGCCATTATGAGCTGATGATTCACATGGTATGAGAACCTTATATTCTCTCTCTCTCTCTCTCTCTCTCTCTCTCTCTTTAACTTTCTACCTTCTTTTATGCTACCTAAAAAAAATGTTATCAATTATAATGCCATCAGATTCAAGTAGAAAGGTTTTAATAAGTCTTAACAAAAAAAAAATTGTTTTAACAAAGAGATAGGGGATATTTCTTATAAAAATGGTGACTTTAAAGTTGGGGACTTGGGGGTCCCCTAGTATGCTCTGAGAAGGCAAAATCAAATTCTTTTAATTCTTCATATAATTAAGTTAAAAGGTTCTTTTTGGAGCCGGCAATATGTTACTTTTGATAAATAAAACACCAGGTATATTAGAATAAGAGAGTCATAGTTCATATAGTATAGCTTAAAGAGAGTTATACCAAACTAAACTTCTCACCAAGAATGAATCTTGTATTTGTTTGTTTGTTAGAATGAGAGGTATACGTATACCCATTCATATCCAGCAAAGAACTCAAAAGAAAAACACTCCACCCACCCACCCCAAAATCCAATAAACTTAGTCGAGCAACAAGAACCGAGTGTTACATTTAATAGTATAATTTTTTAAATTGATGCTTCACGGATATAAAAGTCCCAGCGCAACCATCTATTTTATCTGTTATGTGCTCCGCGTACTGATACTTAAAAAGAAAAAAAGAAAAGAAAAGAAAACCATAATACTTGGCACTGATTTTCTCGCCATCCTTGATTGATTCCTCGAGCAAAAGAAACATCTAATGATCTTTATATACAGTACAGATAATAATTGTTAAAATGGATTATAACTAGCAAAAAGAATTACACGGAGCAATTGGAAAAAAAAAAAAAAAATTAGTTTAAGAAGCTAATCAAGTAATGACACAGTTTGTAACCAGATTTTCCATCAAATACATCAATGAAAAACCTTTATCATAAGCTAATTAGGGTTGGTAAATAATAAAAAAATGCTTAGTTCCCTAAAGATGAAAGTCAAATATTAAATGCAATCCGTACATAAATTAGCTTTTTTTAATACAATAGCAACATGGATATTTGAATATACACAATCAAAATTCCTTATTATCAACAAACTGTTTCTAATGACAAATTGTATGTTTTGATTATTGGAAAAGTGTGTATTATTTTAAAGAATATAAAGTTGTGTCATTTTAAATGAGAGAAAGAGATAGACAAAGGGGGAGAGAGTGGACAAAAAAAATAAAGATGTGGATCTCACCTCTTTGTGAGAGTGAAATGAAAGTTGTGTCATTTAAAAGGACAAACCACTTTCCCTTTCATTATAGTTTATGTTAAATAACGAGAGAGAAGAGAGGAACATTTGAAATAATACTGTGTATATTGACTGATGAAGGTTGTACAATATATAAACAGACTAATGGGCTAAGCTCAAAACTAAAGTAATCTGACCTAATACAAAATAAGAAAACCCTAATTACAAAATAAGGAAACCCTAATTACAATATATTTCTAACACTCCCCCTCAAGCTGGAGCGTATAGGTCATATGCATCAAGCTTGTTACATATAAACTCTATTCGAGGGCCTCTCAAAGATTTTGTAAACACATCTGCTAATTGTTCATTAGAGGGTACAAAGCTAGTTTTAATTTCACCAGCAACAACCTTTTCTCGAACAACGTGGCAATCTATTTCTATATGCTTGGTTCTTTCGTGAAACACTGGATTTGATAAAATGTGTAGAGCTGCTTAATTATCACAAATGAGAGTTGCCCGTCCAGTGTCTCCAAACTTAAGTTCTCTGAGAAGCTGTTTAAGCCAGATGAGCTCGCAAGTAGTAATCGCCATGGAGCGGTATTCTGCTTCAGCACTTGATCTGGCAACTACGTTTTGTTTCTTACTTTTCCATGAAATCAAGTTGCCTCCAACAAAGACACAATACCCAGAAGTAGATCTCCTATCAGTTGGACAACCAGCCCAATCAGCATCACAATACCCAACCACTTTATCATGACCTTTATCTTCATATTCAAGGCCTTTCCCTGGAGATGCCTTGATATACTTAAGAATACGAATGGCTGCATTCCAATGTTCTTGACATGGAGAATTGAGAAATTGACTGACAAAACTAACTGCAAAGGAAATATCAGGCCAAGTGACTGTGAGATAGTTCAATTTTCCAATCAATCTTCTATATTACTCAGGATCTAAAAAGGGCTCTCCCTAATTTGGTAGAAGCTTGATACTTGGATCCATAGGAGTATCAACAGACTTTGAATTTAACAAAGCAGTTTCTTCAAGAATATCCAGAGCATATTTCCTCTGAGATATCACAACACCAGCTTTAGATTGGACCACCTCGATTCCTAAGAAGTATCGAAGTTTCCCAAAATCCTTAGTCTGAAAATGATGACATAAGTGTTGTTTCAATCTAGTGATCCCATTCTGATCACTGCCTGTGATGACAATATCATCCACATATACCACCAGATAAATAGATCCAGAAGCAGAATGACGATAAAAGAGAGAATGATCAGCTGCACTCCGTGTCATGCCAAATTGTTGAACAACACTGCTAAATTTACCAAACCAAGCTCTTGAAGATTATTTGAGGCCATAGAGAGACTTACAAAGACGACAAACAAGACCTGACTCCCCTTGAGCAACAAATCCAGGAGGTTGCTCCATATAAATTTGTTCCTCAAGATCACCATGAAGAAAAGCATTCTTGATATCCAGTTGGTAGAAAGGCCAATGGCTAATAGCAGACATGGCAATAAAAAGGCGAACAATAGACATTTTCGCCACAGGAGAAAAAGTATCAATAAAATCCAAGCCAAAGACCTGAGTGAAACCCTTCGCCACCAAGCGAGCTTTAAGACGATCCACTTGACCATCAGGTCTAACCTTAACAGCATAAATCCATCTGCAACCAACCACAGATTTTCCAGAAGGAAGAGGCACCAGGTCCCATGTGCCATTATGATGAAGAGCACTCATTTCATCAATCATAACTTGTCTCCATCCCGAATGTGAAAGAGCATCACCTGTGGTCTTAGGAACAGATACAGAGGACAAAGAGGAAAGGCAAGAAAAATATGATGGAGAAAGACGATGATAACTAATATTGACTGTATACCTGGCCGGAGGGCGAGTATCACGAGTACCCTTACGAAGAGCAATGGGAAGGTCACTATCCGAAGGTGGGACCGAAGCCGTGGGAGGAGATGCAGTTGAATGTGAGTCCACCGATACATTTGACGAACTATGCTCGATCTCATCAGCAGAAGAGGTGATAGAAAGAGAGTCAGAAACATGGACGGGTAAAGACGGAAGGTAAAGAAGGTCACCTGGGAAGGATGACTGTACAGAATCAGTATCCACAAGAGTAGTAGAGGATCCAAAAAAGGGAACTGATTAAAAAAGGAGACATCCGCCGAGATAAAGTATCGACGTAAAGTGGGAGAGTAGCAACGGTAACCCTTCTGAGACCGAGGATAACCCAGAAAAACACATTTATGAGACTTGGGAGCTCATTTATCCAAACCTGGACCAAGATGATGAACAAAACACGTAGAACCAAACACATGTGGAGTTAAATGATATAAAGCTTGATGGGGAAATTAAATAGAGTGAGGTACCTTATGATTGAGAACAAATAATGGCATGCGATTAATGAGATAGCATGCAGTAAGTATAGCATCACCCCAGAATGTGTATGGAACATTACCATCAATTAACAAGGCACAAGTGGTTTCAACCAGATGGCGATTCTTGCGCTCGGCTACACCATTTTGTTGAGGTGTATGAGGGCAAGATGTTTGATGAAGAATGCCATGAGATGAAAAGAATTGTTGGATGGGATAAGTACTCACATGCATTATCATTACGAAAAATACGAATAGGAATACCAAATTGAGTTTTTATTTAATTATAAAATAACTGAAGAATAGAAAACAACTCATACCGCTTTTTCATTAAAAATAACCAAGTACATCTGGAATAATCATCAATAAAAGTAACAAAGTAATTAAAACCCAAAGTAGAAGAATGATGACTTGGTCTCCAAACATCAGAGTGGACCACAGAAAAAGGAGAAACAACTTGACGACTCGGAAAAGTACTACGAGTATGTTTCCCAAACTGAGAAGACTCACAATTTAAAGTAGAAAGAGACGATAAATGGGGAACCATCTTCTGAAGCTTTGCAAGACTAGGATGGCCCAGACGAGCATGGATAGTAAGAGGAGAATCAACAGTGGAGCATGCTGAAGAAGAGGGAACTAGTTGATAAAGGCTCTGATACCATGTTAAATAACAAGAGAGAAGAGAGGAACATTTGAAATAATACTGTGTATATTGACTGATGAATGCTGTACAATATATAAACAGACTAATGGGCTAAGCCCAAACCTAATGTAATCTGACCTAATACAAAATAAGGAAACCCTAATTACAAAATAAGGAAACCCTAATTACAATATATTTCTAACAGTTTATAAACCATGCATTGACATACTCGGAAAAAATAACTTCTTCTTACATCCACTCAAATTATAATTTGATATCCAAAACCATGCTTGAACATAATTCAATTACCAAACAAATCATTTATGAATAAAATAAACCTAGTCTGGAATGTGCAAATTATAATCCAAATACCCAATAAGGCAATAAACTAGCACTGTCGATATGTGTTGCAGTTAGGGCTGCACAAAATAACTGGTTCACTTGCTCCGTCTTGATCTGATCTTGACCTGACCCATAAATACCTATTTTTTTATCTGGATTTAATACTGACCCACTTTATTTGGGTCAGGTTTTAGACCTGACTCATTTAATAATTAACCCATTGACCCATACCCATTATATGAAAAAAAAATCACAATTACATTAAAAGAAAAGTTTTAACGTAAAACAATTACGTCAAAATTTTTTACGAAAAATATTTTCACAAAAAAATTTCGCAATTTTTTTTTCGATATTTGTGACTAAAAACATTTCTATAAAAAAACTTTGACGGAATATTTTTTTGTCAAATTTTTTTACGAAATTTAAATTTCGTCAAAATATTTCACAAAAAAATATATTCATCAAAAATTTCGATGAAACACATTTCCATCGAAATTTTTTGACGGAAAAAAATTTCATCAAAATTGTTTACAAATTTCAAATTTCGGCGAAATTTTTTGACGAAAATATTTTCGTTAAACTTTTTGATAAAAAAAATTTCGTCGAAATTTTTAGCGAAACACATTTCTATCGAAAATTTTCGTCAAGTTTTTTGATAAAAAATATTACCATCAAAATTTTCAACGGAACACATTTCTGTAAAAAAATTTCGTAAAAATTTTTGACAAAAAATATTTCGATAAAAAATTTTGACGGAAAAAATATTTTGTCAAAATTCTTTATAGAATCTAAATTTCGTCGAAAGTTTCGAATGAAACATTTTCCTCAACACAATTTCCATTGAAAATTTCGACGAAACACATTTCCATCAAAAAAATTTGACGAAATTTTTTTTTATCAAAATTCTTTACAGATTTCAAATTTCGGTGCAAGTTTTGGAGCGAAAAAATTTCGTTAAAATTTTTGACAAAAAAAAAAAATTTCGTAAATTTTTTTAGCGAAACACATTTTCATTGAAAATTTTTAATTAAATATTTTCGTCAAGATTTTTGATAAAAAATTTTGAAGGAAAAAATATTCTGTCAAAATTCTTTAGAGAATCTAAATTTCGTCGAAAGTTTCAAATGAAACATTTCCCTCGAAACAACTTCCGTCGAAATTTTCGTCAGAACACATTCCCGTCGTAATTTTGATCGAAAAATATTCCGTCAAAATTTTTGACAGAATTCTTTTTTCGTTTAAAACATTTGATGGAAGAAATCATTTTCGTCAAAACTTTTGACGGAAACTAAATTTCGATAGAAAATTTATTTTTGTAAAATTTTCACTAGAGAAAAAATTTCGTCGCTTTTCGACAAAAAATATCCCGACGAATAAATTTTTTTTTGACGAAATTTTTGTCTTTTGCAACGTAGAAATTTCGACGAAATTTTGTGAAGAAACCAAGTTAAAAACGAGTCAGGTCAGATTTGACCCACTTCAGAAACCAAGTCAGACTCACTTCAGAAACCAAGTCAGGTCAGATTTGATCCAGTTCTGAACTAGTTCAACAAAATCCAAACCAAGTCAGACCTGACTTGGATCAAATTAAAGCGGATCGGGTCAAAATACCTGACCTATAAAAATCAAGTTGGGTCGAGTCGGACAAAAAATCTGATCCGACCTGACCCATGCACAACCCTAGCTGCAGTTAGTGTAGGGTTCCAACCGGACAAAGGAAGTTAGCCCAATAATATTGACTCATTTTGGGCCAGTCCAACATTTTCAGGCCCATGTTTTATCAGACCGGCCGGACCGAGAAAGCCGAAGCGGCTCGACCGGGTTTTCACACATCAATTTCCTTTTCCTTTTGCTCCCCGAAATTCAAATTCCCGCGCCCAACGTGAAAAACGGAAAGAAAGTCACAAATTCCCCAATCGGAAAATAAAATTCTGGTTTCTCAGAGAAAACAAAAAAGAAAAGAAGAGAAAAGAAAATGGCATCAAGCACAAGCAGCAACAAGATGGACGACGTCGATCGCTTGTTCGCATGCTTTAAGTGCGGTTTATCAACTCCCGGTAAGCCCTTCCATTTTCCTTTTTCCTTTTTTATTTTCTCTCGCAACTTTTTTTTTTCTCGAGAAAACAAAAAATCAACGAAACCTACGAAACTCTAAATTTAAAATTTCTTGTTAATATTGTTGATCATTTTCATATTTCTGAGTATTGAAAAATGTGTTATTGCCTCAGAATCTGCTGTAAGGGAAAGAAAAGGAAGAAAAAGGAGATTGAAAGAGGGGAATTCAAAGCATGAGTCTCCATCAGAATCTCCAGGTGCAGGATCAGTTGGAAGAGAACATAAAACGCCCTTACAATGCAGGAAAAAAACTGACACGGAGTCTTCCATTGAGAAAGTAATGTAATTCCCACTGTTACTGAATTGATTCTCTCATTTTTATAATGTACAAATTATTCTTGTCTCTCAATCGATACTGCAAAACAAAGCTTGCACTCTTACATATCTTTTGTTGTAGAACAACGCTCGAGTTTATGATGCAATTGGGTACTTTTAAATGGTTACCGTATCTGTACCGGATGTTATTTGTTACATGTACGCATTGAGTACACATGGTTATGAATTAGGAACACTTGTTATTTATTTTTATTTTTATTTTTAAAATTTTGGTATTGATTACGTTTGAGAACATTAAGGATAAGGGTGTATTCACATTGAAGGGTAACACAAGCAAAACAGCACAATACAAGTAGCTCAATCACAACACGTCTGTTTATTATTTTTGGTGTTTTCTGTTTGGTTTTGGTGAGGGTAAAGAGAATAGTGGAAGAAAGGTTGGAGAAGTAGGATTGAGGAAGAGAATAGGGCTCTCCTATCCTTTTGAGTGGTGTTATGCATGGGACAAGAACTTGTCCTCTGGTTTAGACTAACAAATTTTTAGACTTTTGTCCTGTGATTCATCTTTGCCTTTGTTTTGTCCCGTGACTATTTCTAAAATCAAACATGAAACAAATATTTTTGTGCTTTCCTATCCTTCATTTTTTGGCAAATCAAACTCAGCCTAAGTATTGCAATGCGTGGGTCCGTCTAATCAAAATGCAAAGTTTTGCTACCAACTTGTTTGGTATACTACTAACTATTACTTCACCCCTTCAAATGCTGTATCCTCTTTAGGTATTGTTTTGGTTGCATGATATGATTTATGAAGTTTGTCGCAAAATTGGAGTTACAATGTTTTGGTAATTGTATGTATCTTCTGGTTTAATTGCTTATTTGTTTATCTTTTTATTATTTAATATAATACATCCTCTTGTACCCTTGCGGTTTTCAAAAATCTTGTTGTACTTGTACCCTTACCTGCACAACTGGGATCATACTCTATCTTTGCGTCAAAACTAAATTACCTTCAATTATCTTGTCAGCTTAAATCAGCAGTAGCCAGAGCAAAAAGCTTTAGTCGTGGGAAGCAGTTCTCTCCAGTTGTATTTTATGGATCTCCTCATGGTGTACCTCCCAAAAAGCCAACCCGTTTATGGCGATTGTTACATGAGATACGTCTTGATCTCTCTCGGCAAAATAAGTTGAACTTAAGGTGGTTGTCAGATGGTGGTTCTGCCCTTTACTGTTTCGATCTGCTTATTCTTCTTGTGCTTTATGTATCTGAATTTGACTTGAATCCTGCTTTATTTTTGTCTAGGAAGGAAGTTTGGGTTACATTCCCAAGGCAGGATGACGCAATAAAGTTTGCCAAAGGAAAAGAAGATGTTTATGTTTTTAGTTATCAAGACCACTTCAATGGCAAAAGAAGGTTCCTCGCGTCTACATATACTGAATTCTGGCGAAGGTTTTGCTTCACAAATTTTTCTTTCTCGTGTGATTCGTTATTTGCTACTAATGTGTAATGACAAAGATCATCGTGTCTATATATTCATATTGCTGATGGTTTTACTGTCAGGTACAAAAATATGGATTCCAAATTTCGTCATCATTATGAAGTGATTCAAGAGGTAATAATCTTGTGTTCGCTGATATTACTGGAGAAATGGTATGGCAATTACATTGTGAGGGATCTGGGTGCATGTTCATTTTGTTTTCTCACGGTCTTAAAATTTCTTTGCTCCCAGGGTTTACCATGCCACCTATATTTTGATTTGGAGTTTGATAAGAGAGTCAACACAGGAAAAAATGGAGACGAAATGGTTGATCTCTTGATATCAGTAGTTCTAAAAGCCGTGCATGAAAAATATGCAATCCAGGGAGACCTTGATTGGATAATAGAACTTGATTCGTCAACTGAAGGTATGGCTTTTCTTCATGTTTATTGCATTTTGTTAGAGAAATATAAAAAATCATTCACCTTTATTTATTAGCTCGAGCTGTTAGGTGAGATGATTATTTATTACAGTATCAAAGTTTTTATCACTGTGATCGTAAGTTTGATTTTCACTATAGTGAAATTAAGTCAGTATAAGGTAAACTAAAAAAAATGGTGGGAGGTTCGTTGCATTCACGTTTGCAGGGAAAATAATGCTTGTGCCCACTGGTTAGTGAAGAATTATAATAGGAACAATAGCATGGTTCAAATTCATCTCACTCCTCCACCACGTCTGATGGAACTGCTGTCAAAGGATGCGATGAGTGTTTCTGGTATTAGTAGAGTAAGGTAGTTTTTTTTTTTTTTTTGGGGGGGGGGGGGTTTGGCCCCTCCTTATTTCAAAAAAAAAAAAAAAAAAATCCATGCTTCTAGCACAAAAAACTCTTGCATCAAGGAATGTTATAGAATTATAAAAAACTATTGATAGAACTTTCACTTTTATGGTTTAAGCTGTAAGCTGAATTGTTTATTACATTTGTTGTACACCGTAGCTTTGTGACTGATATCTTCAATGAGGTTGTGCTACTAGCTTATATGCATTTTCTTTTGATGGTTGACACTTGACATGATATGGTTATGTAGTGTTCTTATATGCCTTTCTTATATGTTTGCATTTTTATTTTATTTTTTTGCTTAATGTAATTTAGGGAAAAATTTGGGGCTAATCCATGTATATTTGACATGTCAGTTTGGCTTTGGCACATATTGAGTATCACTTAGGTATCGGTGTTCATGTTTTCAAGAGTAGACAGCAGCTATCTTTTTCATTGGTGCTTGCTAGAAATATTCAAAATAGGTTGATAAGAAGTCTCGTATCCTTAAATTAGTATGTTATATTACTCTTATGTAATAGCAACGTATGGCATACGAATTTATACATTTGCCTTTTGTTTATATGTTATTGAACTATACCATACTTCATGTCAATTTTCCGCTATCGAGATCCCTAAAATTTTAGAACTCTACGTTAATTTTTTTTTCCAACAACCTTCTCTCATTACTTTCTTCCTTGCCGCACATCATAGAGGTAAGCCGTCACTGTTGCAAGTCATTCTGGTATCCTCTTGACTTTCAACCACTCCCGTGTCCACCGTGATAGGATCTCCAGCAAGCCCAGCCGCCCTCTGCCACCTTTAACCATCGTTGACTGCCAGTGGAGACTTTTTTCCAGTGACTTGTTTTGTCAGTTCTTCAACGATTCAGACACCCACTAAGCAATTCTGATAACCGTATCGTAACTGTACGAGCCAACATCTGTCACTTCTCTGGTGAACACCGGATGTCGCTACGTCACGCCTGATCCAACCGTCCAGGTCATCGGAGAAAAACTCAGGGATGCGTCTCACGCGTATGAAACGTGGCTGAATGGTCATCCTTTCCTGCGATTTTTCCTCAGTTTTCTTGTTTCTGACTATTCTTGTGGACTTTTCCGGTGCTTTTCTAGCGTTTCACGCCAGTATGCCTTGGTTGTGGACCCTCTTCTTTTTGGCTTTTTCAGATTCTTTTTCCTTTGGTTTGAGATTGGAGACTATGGTTCTAGCATGCCCACACTCTTCTCTGATAAGATTTGGCCCTTCATGTCGATGTCATTGTCAACGCCAACATAGCCTTGAGGGGGAGAAATATAGAATTGCACTATAGCCCCGTGGAAAGTTTGTCCCAGCTACAAATTGGCCCCGTTGGATTTTGACCTAGACATGCTTTGATCGGGTCTTTTAAATTTTCTTTCGGTAAAAGCCTTGAATGCTGCTCTTGATGGAGTTGGAGAAGTTTTAGTTCTTGCTGTGTATACTTGCTTGCAAGGTCAGTTTTGATGATCATCCCTGCGAAATCTCTTCTTCCTTGCTTATGCAATTTTTTTTTTGGTATAACCTAGAGGTATCCATTCAACTTTCTCCGGTCACCTTGTTCTCGATTGAATTTAGCTACTGGAGAAAGGATGAGACTAATCCCCCATTCGAGTAGATTATGGTCATTCTAGTTCTAGTGAGTTGCCTTTCTAGCATTTTTCATCTATTTTACGACTCTAACATCCCCGAGTTTGATTGCAACCATGTTTTGTGGAGTCTAAAAATATTATTGATTAAATTTTCTTTTTGTAAGGGCTCGTTTGTAACAAGCTTAAAATTTATTAAGTTTTAACATGAGGGGGAGTATTAGAAGTATTGAAAATGGTTGATAAGAAGTCTCATAGTGTTATATTAGTCTTATGTAATTGTTATATCGCCGCTCTATATAATAAAGCCTCCTCTGTGCAATTGACATGCACGCAATTAAACATTTGTCTTTTGTTTCCATATTATTCAACAGTGCTCGTTGTCGACCAGAACATTAAAACTTATGGAATATGAAGATTGCATGTCTTGTCTAGTTGTAAAATGTAACACCCCGTTCTAGAACCGGTTTGTTAACATCGCATTATGATATTAAGCGCAGTTACAATCACATGGGTTCAATTAAAATCCGGATAAATTTTTCATTTTAAAACGTACCGAACTTATAATACCCAATTTCGTGATCATAACCATATTACCTTGCGGAAACAGATAAATTAAGCTTAACATCATGTTCATTTCCCATTTTTAAACCATTAATTTACTTCTTGTTTAATTCAATACTTCTACTATATAGTAGGTTTCTTCATTAGCTACCCGTGGCTTCAAACCGTGCTCAAATCGGAGCACTGTAGTCCAAGTTAGGACAATTTGAAGCAACACAAAAGAGTGTTGGTCACAGGCCCAGCGCGCTACCGGGCGCTCAAGCGCGCGCTATCGGGCGCTAAAGCCTCCATCTGGGCGCTTAAGCGCACGGAGGCAGTAAGCATCAGCATTTCCAGTGTGGATGGGCGCTTAAGCGCGCAACAGGGCGCTCAGGCGCGCTAGCCTGGGCGCTCAAGCTCCCACTGGGACGTTTTAGCGCGCAGAGACAGAAGCATCTCCTCCTTCAGTGGCGAAGGGCGCTTAAGCGCGGACCAGGGCGCTCAAGCGCGCAACCCTGGGCGCTCCAGCGCGAGGAGGCAGAATGCATTGGCACTCGCAGGGGCAGCAGGGCGCTTGGGCGCGCTCCTGGGCGCTTAAGCGCGCTGCCAGGGAATTCCAATTCCCACATTTCTCAAGTCCAAGCCTAGGGGAAAATGTATCCCCAATACAAACCACAAAGGTCCATGCCCCAAAACTAAATCCTAGCACTCATCCAACCTCTCCTCATGAGATTTAGCTAGAATTTGGGCAGCATGACCTTTGTTTTCTCATCGTTTACCAGTTTAAACGAAGAGGGTACCTAATTGATTTTCAGCCCGACCAATTCAACAACTCAATACATAACAAGCATGCATATATTGAATTCCAAGTAGGCATCATTTACATTACATATCCTTTACAAATCATAGAACTTAGCTTACAAAACACTATGATCATTCCCTTGGCTCCCATCAACAAAAGGTGTAACCAAAGGCATGAGCATAGGCTAAGTTCATTCAATGAATCAAGGCATACAAATGACCAAGGGCTTTCAAAATAAACTCCTATACATGTCAACTACAAAAGGCATGCATAAACTCAAAGAAGTGCCATATTTCATGCATAATCCAGATATGGCCACTTGCCACCAGAGGCTCCTGCAGCATCCTTACCTGAAAGGGGGTCCCCACAACACGGGGTGAGATATACGAATATATCCAGTAAACCAGGGGTCCTTGGAGCATCTCTCCACCCCACAGTTCCATATCAGTGTAATAGCAATAACAATAATAATGCAGTAAATACATATCTATACAAAGTGCAATACATCTCCAGGAGAAATCCCTCGAGCTCTCAAGCTGTCCTAAGGAAACTCAGATGCAAATAGTCCTACTGGCCAGCTAACTACCAAGTATGATTTACGCATCGTCATGCCACATACCAACATAGGGAAACACCATCCTATGCCACACCAAATGCATACACATACGTATAACAAAGCATTACACTATTTTATTGCATTTATATACACAATCACAACCTCCACCCTTTCAGGGCTTGGTAGAACAGTCAAGGGAATTACACCCAAGGTCCGAAGGCTTACCTCAATGCTTCAGTCAACCTTTGTTCTTCACCAACAGTTTCAGCAGTCAACTTTTACAAACATACACCTACACATGGTGTAATGCAATCAACACATTGCATCCAAGAGTATTTCACCATCAACCATCAATTACTCAATTCAAAGCACAACACAAGTATGAGCTTACCAATTCCAATGAGCTATTCAAGCTCCATAGCTTGCTCCAATGGTTGATCACTCACGGTTGGTCCAAATGTCTCAATCCTAGACATCACAAGGATCCAATCAATCATTCAACTCACTAATTGTTCAACATGCTAGAATACTAACCAATCCAAGCATGAATTTTCCAATATTATGAACAATTATCAAATGACTATCTAGGCTCATTTCCACCGATTAAATGACATTCCTAGCATTTTCCATAACATGCTCTAAGCTCCATTCTTCCTAGAACATAGCTAATTCAACTACATTTCATAAAAATCCCAATTTACTATTCACAAACCCTAACTCATGCAAATTTCAAGGAATCATGAGGTTCAAGGGTTAGAATCTTACCACCAATGGTCACACAACCAAGGATTGATGGCTCCTCAAGCTTCAATGGAGGTAGAAACTCTCAAAACCCCAAATTTCTCCAAAGGGCCGAATTTTTGAGAGGTAATATCTCTCTCCACAATGCTCCCCACTCAAAACAAAGCTAGGATTATGATAGAGGGCGAGATTCTAAGCGATTTAGGCTTTTGAATCATCCAAAACCATCAAGGTTTGATCTCTCTCTCTCTTTTCCTCCCTTCCTTCCTCTTCTTTCTCCTTCTTCTTCTCCTTCTGGCGTCGTGAAAATGGGGAGGGGAATTGGTTGCTTTTTACTTTATGCCACTTAACTTTGTTAAGTGGTTAAAAAGCGGGTATCGGTTCATCTATCTATTCAACCCCAATAATTACCAAACTTTACCCAAAAGTCTGGAATATTATTCTTGGAATATTACTATTTTTATTTTTATATTTTGGGCACTTTTGACAGTACCCATTTATACCCCTTAATTTTCACTGAGTACACTTTTTAACTCCAAAGTGACTCAGATTCATTTTATTAAGCCTCACACTTAATTTCACCCAGTAAAACATGTTTAATTAATTAATTACACTTGATTTCCTAATTAATTAATATGGGCTATTATAATCACCCACCTTTCAGCGATTTTGTCCGCAAAATCAAGAACGTACCTGTCCTTAAACTCAGGATATTGCCGGAGAAGCTCATCTTCCCGCTCCCAAGTGGACTCTTCAGGCGACCTTCCTTCCCATTGGACTTTCACCATAGGAATAGATTTATTTCTCAGCTTCTTCTCATCTCTTTCGAGTATCTTCAGTGGTCCAATAGGAGTCTTCAAATTCTCCCGGATTTCAACATTATCAGGTTGAACCACATGAGAAGGATCAGCTACATATTTCCTCAGCTGAGAAACATGAAACACATCATGCAAATTTGCTAATTGCGGAGGTAAGGCAAGCTGGTAGGCAACCGGTCCCACCCTACGAAGAATCTGGTAGGGTCCAATAAATCTCGGACTCAGCTTCCTCACTCCAAGGGCTCGTCCCACACCCGTAACCGGTGACAGCTTCAGGAACACATGATCTCCCTCCTCAAACTCTAGAGGTCGATGCTTGAGATCATAGTAACTTTTCTGACGATCCTGAGCCTTTTTCAGACGATCCCTAATCATTTTAATCTGCTCAGTAGTCTCCTGAACAAAATCCAATCCAAACCGCTCTGTGTCTCCAACCTCTGACCAACAAGTAGGTGTCCTACACCTGCGACCATACAAGGCCTCGTAGGGAGCCATACCCAGACTAGTATGGAAACTATTATTATACGAAAACTCAACCAGCGGGAGATATCGATCCCATGCAGTACCCTGCTCCAGGGTGCAAGCCCTCAGCATATCCTCCAACGTCTGAATGGTCCTCTCAGTCTGACCATCCGTCTGTGGGTGATAAGCAGTGCTCAGTCTCAACTGAGTGCCAAGAGCCTCCTGCAATGCTCCCCAGAAGCGAGAAGTGAACTTCGGGTCCCGATCACTAACAATGCTCTCAGGCACCCCATGAAGCCTCACAATCTCCTTCACATAGAGCCTAGCCAATCTCTCCGCAGAGAAATCTACCCGAACTGGCAAAAAGTGTGCGGATTTTGTCAATCTATCCACAATCACCCATATAGAATCATAACTAGCCTGTGTTCGCGGCAATCCCACTACGAAATCCATGGAGATACTCTCCCATTTCCATTCAGGAACATCCAGAGGTTGCAACCTACCAGAAGGCTTTTGATGCTCAATCTTTACCTTCTGACAAATGAGACACTTAGAGACAAATTCGGCAATGTCTTTCTTCATACCAGGCCACCAAAAATTCATCTTTAGGTCCTGATACATCTTTGTAGCTCCCGGATGAACTGTAAAATGACCCTTATGAGCCTCTGTCATCACTTCTTCCGCCAACTGCCTAGGTACAACTACACGACCCTGATATAATAGTATACCCTCATCATTGCAGGATACACCACTCTGACCTTTTAGTCGTCTAGCACTTTCATTTTGCAGCTGGGCTTCTTTGATTCTGGTCATCAGTTCATTCTCAATGCTCGTGATTTCAAAGCCACAAATTTTACATGGAAAGATTTTAGATAATTGAATATCTCTGAACCTCTCTATCACATCATAATCTCTAATCATCATGCTTGATATGCTCACAGGTTTACGGCTCAGTG